AAAAATAAAATAAAATGGGGAAAAATATAGGGGGGTAGCCTGGCCGGTATGGTTCAGTGGCTGAACATACATCTATGAACCAGGTCACAGTTCGATTCCCGGTCAGGGCACATGTCAGGCTGTGGGCTCAATCCAGTGGCGTTATAATCTGAACAATAAAGATTTAATAAATTTTTTAAAAAAAGAATTTAAATTAAAAATAAAATAAAATGGGGAAAAATATAGGGGGGTAGCCTGGCCGGTATGGTTCAGTGGCTGAACATACATCTATGAACCAGGTCACAGTTCGATTCCCGGTCAGGGCACATGTCAGGCTGTGGGCTCAATCCCCAGTGGCGTTGTGCTGATCGATGATTCCATCCTATCACTGATATTTCTGTCTCTCTCTCCCTCTCCCTTTCTCTCTGAAATCAATAAAAAATATATTTAAAAAAAACAAGAGATGCTCAATTCCACTATTAATGACAAACAAAACAATGAAATTACTATTTTCCACCTATCAAATTAGCAACTGTATAAAAAATTCATAGCATCCAGTATAGCCAAGGTTGTAAGAAATGGAGATACTCACACATGGTTCTGAGTGAATGCACAAATTCTTACAAACTTTTGAAATGCAATTTCACAGAATTTGTTAAAATTTAAAATGCACATATCCTTTCTACAAATCTATCTAATGCAAAAGGCTAACTATATAAGGATATTCATTATGGCATTGTTTATAAAACAGACAAAAATTGGAACTAAGCTAAATGTTCATCAGGATAGGTCTGGAAAACTAAAGTACAAACATAAGTTGGAATACTATGCAACAATTCTAAACTGCGCCTGGCTGGTGTGGTTCAGTAGTTGAGCACTGACTCAGAAACACAAGGTCACAGCTCATTCCCAGTTGGGTTTTGGGCTCAATTCCCAATGGGGTGTGCAGGAGGCAGCCAATTAATGATTCTCTCTCATCATTGATGTTTCTCTTTCGCTCTCTCTCCCTTCATCTCTGAAATCAACAAAATATATATATATATATATATATATATATTTTTTAAAGATGTGAATTCACTTAGATGTCTAAAATACACTGAATGGCATACTGTATGTGCTCAAAAAATGTTCTAAATGGAAAAAAAAATTTTTTTTGTATGAACTGAAAAAGCCTGGAAGTATATATACCAAAATGACAAAAATGACTACCTTCAGGAGCATAGGGCAGTAAGAGAGGGAAACTAAACATTTTTTACCTTTTATCCTTTTGTTGCATAAATTGTTAAAATAAATGAGCTAATTTGTCAAAACTTATTGCTGACAGTTTCACTCCATTTTATCTCAATTTTATGATGATCCTAAGAGCGAAAAAACTTGCTGCCAGTGGCTCAACTAATGGACTGCCCAAAGAAATGAAACCTGTGTGCAAAAAGTGGCTGGGAGCAAGAAGATAGAGCATCTGCCTGCGGACTCAAGGGTCCCAGTTTCAATTCCAGTCAAGGGCACGTCCCCAGTAGGGAGTGTGCAGGAGGCAGCTCATTGCTGTTTCTCTCTCACTGATGTTTCCCTCTATCCCTTTAACTCTCTATCCCTCTCCCTTTCTCTCTGTAAAAGATCAATAAAATATATTTTTTTTAAAAAGTGGCTGGGAATTATCTTCTTTCATAAGTAAAGGTTTTTTTTTCTTTTACTATCTCTACTGATTCTCCAAAACTCACAACCTGACAGTACCAACCACAGAAGCTGGGGCCTAAATGGAATGGATATTGCCTTCCATCAAGTGCACTTCGGATAGTCCATCTTAAGCAGGACCACTTTCTAATAGCTAAAATTGGGAGAATTTGAAGAAAGGATTGTTTCCTTTTTCCTAATGCAGCCAGGCCCAAGCGCCATCCTGCATCACCTTCTCCAATGAAAGGAGATTCCTACTGAGGGAAGTCCTAAAGTTTTTCCCAAGTGAGCCCAATGTCAGACGCTGGAGGGTCTGGAATAAAGGGGGAAGCAGTATAAGGTGACCAGCCTGGCCAGGGATGCACCGCAGGGCACCCATTTTCAGATTGGAATTGAGTGTACACATCAGACGCGTGCACAGAAAATTGGTTCGCCCTGGCCAGGTTGGCTCAATTGGTTGGAGCGTCATCCCTTTCACAAAAGGTGGCGAGTTCAAATCCCAATTTGGGCACATAGTTAGGTTGCGGTTGAATCCCGGTGGGGGCATGTGATGTTTCTCTCTCTCCCTTACTTTATCTAAAATATGTAAATCCAGCCCTGACCAGTTTGGCTCAGTGGATAGAGCATCGGCCTGCGAACTGAAGGGTCCCAGGTTCGATTCCGGTCAAGGGCATGTACCTTGGTTGCAGGCACATCCCCAGTAGGGAGTGTGCAGGAGGCAGCTGATCAATGTCTCTAACTCTCTATCCCTCTCACTTCCTCTCTGTAAAAAATCAATAAAATATAGTTTTTAAAAAATTTATAAAACTTAATTCCTCTCCCAGCTGACTGGGCCTGATGGAAACCTCAAGTAATGACAACCTCGGCCGAGTTACGTGAAATGGTGGAGTTACGAACTATTCTGGCTCTGTTTGGGGCACCAGGTTCAAAAGCGACCGAGAGAACGTCCACGAAGAACGTAGGTAGAGTGATGGCGCTTTTTTGAGGAGTCTCTGGCAAAACCTTTAAAAGGCACCCAGCCTCCGTTCCTGCCCTCAGTCAAGATGGCCGCGTGGGGCTCGCCCGCACCACGGCGCATGCGCTGTACCACCAGCCTCCTTTCTGTGCGAAGGCACCGCCCACTCACGCACCAGCTACACCCCATTCCCTGCGTCCTCGGCAGCACCCCTTTGCTAACTGTCCCCGCCCGGCCAGGCTCCCCAGCCCGGAAGTGGATGTAGCTGTGCAGCGGAGAGGACGAGGGGGAGGGGAAAGTGCTTCCGGGGAAGCAGGCCCGGGGTTGGTGTTTGTAAACTTGCCTCGGTCCCGGCGGGGGCAGCGGCGGCCACGGGGTTGGCACAGGGTACTGGGCCTGGAGGAGGCGCCGCGCAGTGGGTGAGCCCGCTGGAGGCCGCGCCTGGCAGGTAGGAGCACGCCCCGGGGAGCGCAGCGTCGT